AGGTGGTCGCCTTCTGCTTGGATACAGTGTTGAAGGCGTTCCTTCAACTTGCTACGGATTTTGCTAACATATCTCTAGGAATGGTGTTAATTTCCTGGCGAATAGCTTCTTTAAGTTCCTGATTGTTTTAGGGTTGTTTATTTAAACTCTAGATTTCAAAAATCCCCATAGAAATAAATCTGGAATTCTAAGACCCAGTGAGCGAAAAGGCCAAGTGACATCACCAAAACGTGAGATAACTCTTGTAGGGAATTTTCGCCGAAGGAATTCCTTTCTAATGCGAGCCGTATGGACTGTTGCTCCATCTTGTTGGAACCATACATTACGTGTCTCTAAATATTGACGGCGCATTTCTGGCAAGAAATATTCATCCAACATTTCTAGGTACCGTTGGGCATTCAATGTCACTGCTCTGCCATCGTTGTCTTTAAAAAAATAAGGACCAATGATCCCCTTCTCACTAACCGCACACCACACAGTCACACATAAGCTATGAAGAGGTCTCTCAGCTACTTTTTCAGAATTTTCTGCACACCAAAATTGTAAATTGTGTTTGTAGCTGCTCCGTCCAGTGGAAATGCGCTTCATCACGCATAAGGATAACTGCATCGTAATTTTTGTCTAAAATTTCACTCATTGTGTTACAAAACTTAACACTTTGCCTTTTTTCTGCTTGACTCAATTGATGACATACTGCCAGCTTGAAAGGATGAAATTTAAGATCTTTTACCAAAATCTTTCTCACATTGGATGGGCGAAGTCCGAGAGCAGATGTCCGCTTCCGAATTGAGCGGCTAGGACTCTGAACTGTTGCAAGGCGAACTCTTTCAACTGTCTCAGGGTTACTAACTGTCCTTGCCGGTCCAGGAGGTTTCTTCTTAAAAGATCCAGTTGTGTTAACATTATGTATCCAACGGCCTTGATCCAACGCAATATCGTGTTACGATCAGGGATAGCACCATGCCGTGCAATGTTAAAATGTGCACAAATAGTCTTGCTAAGTCTGAGTGACTGATTCACCATTTGCGTAATATTGTCCCATGACAAACATACGATGTTCAAGGTTCCACATCTCGGCAAAAATTGAAACTGCACACTTCCCCTTCCACATCGCAACAACTTCCGGCCGTCGCCAAACAATATTCCTTGTGTATTACGAAAGTCAAAAACATGCGTTTCTGGCCAACTGTGGCTTATTGGCGTTAAGTTTGCAGATCGGCTTACAAAGTATAGTACAGAAGTATAGTACAGAAGTATAGTACAAAGTAGTAGTTTAGCAGTTTGTTTAACTGTTCTTGGACTCATGATTACCCAGCTATATTTTCAATACTTGATGAATTTCAGGTTTTCCATGTTGAGATTAGTAATATCTCTATCACGTTTCTAACTGTCTGTGTTTAATATTAATTTATATTGTTTATTAACAGATTGTAAGTTTGTGTTAAAGTTTAATTTTGAATTAACAAATTCATTCAGGTTTTGTGTTAAAATAACTTTTTTATTTATAGTTTTCTGGTTATTGGGTGATTAATTGTAGATTCTCGGAATATTCAACATTCCAGGGTCAAGTTTCAGAATTTCCAGATTTTGAAAAAATGAAATGAAATGAAAATTGTCTTAATTTGAGAAGCTTAAATTTACAAGCGCTCCCATCTTTAAGTTAAGAATTATGAAAAGTAAACCTATAGACTACAAAAATTTTCAAAAAAAGTTAAGAAATAAATAGTAAATATGTATTAGTCTTTTCCGTAACAGTTAACTGTAGAAAACTCCTCCAATCATCTGTACATATGCTGATAAATTCAAAGGTCAAATCAAGTACGACAATTGAATTAACAGGCCATCCGGCAATAAGAAAACATACCCAAGTTTCACATTGTGTATAGTCATTGTTCAAGAACTTCCAAATTCTTATACATATACTGTTACGGATTTAATCCTGATTTTGGTTCATTGCTTTATCAACAGCCAAGAGTGATGGTAAACTCCCAAGAATGTAGAATCCACACCCCAATCCTTAAGATATCTAAGATATATCTTCTTCCAAGTAAAATGTTACAAATTACAAACATGCTGTAAAATCTGTTATCTAGATCAGTTAATTAATTATACTAGATAACCTGTTGCTCGAAATCGAGCAAAACTGAAACTTGTATAAAAAAATACCAAAAACATAAACAGCAAGACCTTAATCAAAGAGTCACTCTAAATAATTTATATGACTGATTATAGAAATATAAAAATATTATGATGTAAAAAAATATAAAAGCAATCTACAATATTTAAATTTACATTCACTCTCATATCGCGTTGGTTATCTCTTATGTATAGTAGGCGGGTGCACTCTATGAGCACGTAGATGTCAACCACAAACTGTAAAGTGAGCTTTTGACCTAATGTAGCTCAATTCCTCTCTTGACGCCAACCATTGCTACTCTTATTCTAGCATTGTTAAATTATTTCTTTGATGTGTTCTGCTTTAGGCGTATTTAAATTAGGGGCCCCAACCCAAGTCTCCGGTTGGGAAAATAAGAGGGTAAGCAAGTGGATCTAACGACAGATCTATAATGGATACGCGTTTTACATTATTAGTGTTGGAAAAAACTATACGATTTATTTGGCCAGGTGGTGCTTTGTTTTCAGCTTTAAAAATTGCTGCGTCATCTACACATGTAGCACCATTGTAGAGAGGGGAGACACTTCTTCTAACTCTTATTATGTACATAAGAATCTCACTTGACTCCTCGGAGCTCTTGTCCCTACATAATGTCTAATTGGGTGTACCAATGAGTTGGCATTGTGACCCTATTTGCCGCATAATTTTTTCATTGCATTTTTTTTATTGTGCTTAGTTCTTCTTTGGGTTCTAGTGACATTGTCGTACTTACTTATATATCTGAGAAATTCTGTGCTCTCTGATCTGAGCGTATTCAGGATCATCACCTTCTTGAGGAATAAGAGGACCCACTCTGTGGTAAAACGTGTCATGGATGTTAAAATTGTTGATCCCCTGTGGAACTTTCTCATCTTAATGAGCTTTGGAGTTGACCATGAACTTTCTCATCTTAATGAGCTTTGGAGTTGACCATTGAAAGGCAGAACTGAATTGACGAACTTTTTTCCAAATAATTTCTGGATATAAGTGTCATAGTCCTATTTTCAGATTGGGAGTTTCCAATAAGAGCCTGAAGTTTATTGTGGTGAATTGCACAAATGAGGTAAACGAACCTTCATTTATGGCAAGAAAGAGTACAAACTTAACTGTCTCGGCCAGTCTTTTCTTGCTTAAAAATATGTAAGCCACTATAATGTAAACATTTAACGTCCATTTGTCCGAGATTGGACTATCACAACGGTGGTACTACCACTATGTACCCATCAAATGTTCAATTGAGAGGTTGATGCAAGCGGTCATGTTCGCGTTCCCTCCAGCCAATCACAGTTCTTCGTCGTACTGGCGGCATTTGATTTTAAATTGAAATGAAATATGTTAACCAAACAACAGAAAACACTATAAAGGAATTGGAATTTTGATACACATGGTAAATTACATGATAATGTGGTAATGTAACGGATAACTGCCCTGTGAATAATCACTTTTAAAAATTCACTTCATCACATCAAACTGTAACTACATGATAATCAGTAAAATACGATGTAAGGTAAATCAATTTAACCCTAGACAAAAAGAATTAAATACTTATTAAATATTTATTCTTAAACACTTTGTTGTCTAGTATTGATAAAAAACTCTTTATTATGAACCAGACTTAGTTAACAGATTGAAACAAAATATAAATTCCAGCTTTGCTCTGAAAGTTTTAAGTCCTGCAGTCTGTGGTTAACCAATACTATATTTATTCTTAAACACTTTGTTGTCTAGTATTGATAAAAAAACTCTTTATTATGAACCAGACTTAGTTAACAGATTGAAACAAAATATAAATTCCAGCTTTGCTCTGAAAGTTTAAAGTCCTGCAGTCTGTGGTTAACCAATACTATTTCAAACTACGTCCATATGTTATTTGTAAACAAAGGGAAATGAGTTTGATCAAATGTCAACAGATAGCGCCGCCTTCCAAACTTTAGCCCTTAAGTGTACTTAAGTGGTGCCCTTTCTAAATATTCTGAGACGTATTTGCACATCTACGTGAAAATACCTTTAATTTGACACCTCAAACTTTAAAATCCATCAAGCCGTTATTGAGTTATGACTGTGAAAAGAAAACTGCTTGCGTATTAATATATAGATTACACTTTATTTCAATTAGTCCTGAACAACAAATTTGTTTCAAAACAGAATTATAAAATTAAAATTTATTCCCATTAGTCTCAGTATTTGACATGATCACAATAACAATATGGTTCGTTCCAGCGACCGTGGATACACTTGTGATCATTTATTATTATTATGGCAACATTAGTGAGCAACTCCAGCTTCCTTGTCAACAATCATAATCATCTTTTGCAGATATAGCAATAGGCCTAGTGCTGTAATCATGTTCTTCAATCTCAACAACTTCTCTGGTCATCTCCTGCCACCGTGGCAATATCCCTGATAGAGCAATATCAGTAATGGTTTGCCACGATCGCAACAGTGCCTGTGATAATTTCTTACGATCGCAGCGACTTCGGCAATAGCAATATTCTTACAAGACATACGACTACGAGAAGATAATAAACCCCAATTATTAGTTATTAATCAATATCTTTAATTTCCTGGTGCTATAACAAATTCAAGGACAGCTCAGGTCTTATATTGGTCGTTAAAATTCATAAACAATCTCCATGTTTTCCCTGTTTCGAAGTTGGATGGACACCCTGAGTTTAGGTTAATGAATCTTGGAATATTTTGCTGAGATATCAATAAATATCAGACAATGGCTAATCAGAATTTTAATGAGTAAGGCTCATCACATTTTAAAACATGTTTAAAAAATTAACATAACAAATAAATAATGACTATAATAAATAATGAAGAGGCAACATGTAAAACTCACTCTCAGTTAATGCTGTTGCACCAGTGCTCCTCTTCAAGTATCTTCTCCTCTGCTGTTCAAGAAGTGGTCGCTTCTCTGAAGGAGCTGAGTCATCACTGTTGTCAATGGTTCTAGTGATGGTCTTTGGCTGCAGCCGTTGGGCCTTCAACTGCCAGTCTGATGTCTTCATGATGGCGTCAAAGTGTACACTCTGAGACACATCTGAACAAACATACAATCATTACATACAGAACACAACACAGAGTCCTAGTAAAAGGGATCCAAATTAATTTTCAGAATGTACAATTTACTAAAAAAGGCTGCACAAACAAAAAAATTTTGACTAGTAATATGAAACAACATAACCAAATACGAATACCCCCGCTGCAGCAAACCTGCAGACTAAGCAAATTTCCATTTGCCTGATTTTATTTTCAATTATATCCAGTTCAACAGTTTTGGGTTTAACCAGTACCTAGGTTTGCTGCTACAGGGATGGTAATCAAATGTGTTTTTTAGTATTTAAAATATAATAGCTTAGTACAGTCGGTTTTACCACTGAGGCTCGAACCTCAACCAAACCCTCGAGGTAAAGAATATCGGAGTGGAAAGGCTAGCGTATTGATGCGCGTACCCACTACGCTCCCTGCTCTACTATGTTTTGGCACACCTACGTGTCACATGTATGATATAAAACCCCCTTAGCTACGCTCTACGATATACTCTAGCCTCGTTGCTCCACTGTTTTCACCCTAAGTACTTTTAAATAAAATAACTTAAATGAGGAATAAATATGTTTTGTTTTTGGAAATATTTTAGTAGAAATCCAATCAGACAAATCGAGACTCGCTTTGTGTGCAGGTTTGCTATGATGGGGGTATTTATCTTTTAGTCATTTGAAAAAATTACTCAATTAACACTTACCATTTGGAAATGACAGAACTGGATGAAATGCAGGGTCCACCATTGCTATCCTCTCATTCAAAGTCAGCAAATCGAGATCCTCGCGTGGTTGGGTGGGATTGGTTCTTCCTGTACACAAAGCACAGCTGGGCAGGGGAGGTTGACAACCACAGTGTATTGTAGATTGTTTAGCTGCCTTCTTGGATGTTAAATGAAGACCTGCAGTCCTTAGAACTTTTCGTTTCAGAAAAGAAGTTCGCTTTAAAGGTCTAGTTCGGCATGAACTCACAGTCACAGGTTCATCATCAATGATTTTACCAGTCGCACCTGGTAGTGTACCATGATAACCGTTCACTACAACACTGTCACATAACCTAGGAGGATCTTCACCTTCTAAAATAACACCACCTTTGCCCGTCCTTATCTTCTTGTTTAGCTCATTGGTTTGTCTGATGCGATATTCAAGATCAGAAATCTGTGCTTGTAGCCACGTCCACTTGCTGGCAATAGTAGCTCTGTCTTGAGACCACCTCCATGACGCTCTCTTTGTTCTGAAAAAACACAAATTCTTAATAAAAGTGTGGAAATTTAACCTTTGTATTTGGAGGTTACAACTTTTTTTTTATTTGTGAATTACTGGTCAGGCTATAATATTATTCTTTAACCAATTTATTGAAATTACCAAAAAGCAACTTTTTTATCCAGGTGTTAATTTAGCCTGTAAATATAGGCCTGAATAAAATGTTTATAAACAGCTAGGATAATAGCATTGACTACTGGATACTGAAGTAGACGACCCATCTATATCGACCAGCTGTAGCAAATTTTTTGTTGACTAAAACTCTATTTTCTACCACATTTTTGTTGCTATGCTAGCCAAGTTGATGGGTCATAACAGTTGCTATAGCTCACAATAAGTAATTCCATTAGTTTGTTTGAATTGGTAAAAAAGATTTGAGTATTCAACTAAATTCAGTAATTTAGATCAGCACAATCTGTTGGTGGCTCACATCAACTACGGTACGACGATTTTGGTAAAAAAAACTGGCTAAAAATTTAACATGGGGATGGAATGTCTAGTTGTATTAATAGTCAAAGCTAATAGATATAATTTACAGTAGGCCTATAACAATTTAAGATTATATTTTATAATGGCTCAAATTTACTCATTACATTCATATTACTTCCTATTGATCCTGTGAGTTTTTCAATTAAATTCCCATTCAACAATCACTAGTATCACACCATGTTATGGGTTATTTTTCTCTACAGTACTCATTTTAGTACAATAAATAGTAGAACTACGCTAATCCGACCTTGGCTAGTCTGACCGTGGCACACCTATCAATGACCAATGGCTTCTCATTAACATCGTGACCATTTGCCCAAGGGGAAGATCATCAATCTCCTGCATTGGCGGAAACATCTTTTTCTACAATCTTGAAAAAATTTATTGCAATCCTCCGCGATTGTGAATAATCATAGAAAAATCAAATTCAAAGGTCTCGGAGAAAAATCATCTTGAACATCCCCAGCGGTCGTGTAGACCTAGACATCATCATCGTCATCGTCTTCCGCTATCGCGGCAAAATAACTCTACCAAACACGCTAGGACATCACAGAATATATTCTGCGGAAAAGGAAACATCATTGCCGTCTCCCGCGATTGCAAAAAATATTGAACGTCAACAACAATAAATTACTTCTTTAGGGTAATTAACAGTAACCTAAATTAATTTTTATTGGAATGTACACATTGTAATCGAAACAGGCCAAATTTGGAATTTGATTTTAAATTTAATATAAACCGACTATGTAAAACCTTGGTTTGTACTTTTTTACATAAAAAAAGACTGTAACCTACTTTTTGCCATCCTGTCACCTTTTCAATTCAGTCTAGCAACAGCTTTTTGTCATGTAATGGTCAATTCTGCCCTTTGAATCTCCTTGCGTTATGGAAGTAATGGTTTGTTAAAAATTAATGCAAATTTTTTTATTAATTGTTGATTAGCTACAGTTATAATTAATTAGTATTGCCATAATGTATTTACTTATCTTGGCTCTTTTATGTTAGATGCTAGTACTGTACACCATTGTTTCTGTTTTTTAAAGAAAATATTAAAAACTTAGTATAGGCCTAGGGATAAATGAGTTTGCCAAGTTTGATCAAAATATATCCAAAAACAATTAACTATTACAGTTAAAACTTATTTTCCATATAAATAAACAACATGAGAATTTTAAATTTACGATATTTTTAAAATCTTTCCTGTAACCAATAACCTTACAAAAACATGTTAATATAGGACTAGAGTAAATTATTTGTTATTTAAGCTCTTCAAAATGGTTTGGAGAGAAATTGGTAGCCTAAATCTTATGTTTTTAAGGGTCAAAAATGAGAAAAACCAATTTTGAGCCCATAAATCCCCCACAAAACCCCGTTTCCATGGTCCGAGCATACGTTGGTTTGCTAACTCTTTCAAATAATACCCCCGCCGCAGCGAACCTGCAGACTAAGCGAATTACCATTTGCCTGATTAGATTTAGGTACACTAAAATGTCTCCACAAAAAATATCACATTTATTCCCTATTTAAATAGAATCAGTTTACATACGTACTTAGGTTTGCTGCAACAGGGAGCGTAAGTGTTTTTTTTTTATGTAAACTGTTAATAGTTAGTAAGAAATAAAAACATTTTCCAAATTTGGGCAAAAAATGTTAATAAACAAGCAAACTACAACAGTTTACTCATTCTCCATAAGAATAACATGAGAATTTTAAATCACAAAACCCCGTTTCCATGGTCCGAGCATACGTTGGTTTGCTAACTCTTTCAAATAATACCCCCGCCGCAGCAAACCTGCAGACTAAGCGAATTACCATTTGCCTGATTAGATTTAGGTACACTAAAATGTCTCCACAAAAAATATCACATTTATTCCCTATTTAAATAGAATCAGTTTACATACGTACTTAGGTTTGCTGCAACAGGGAGCGTAAGTGTTTTTTTTTTTTATGTAAACTGTTAATAGTTAGTAAGAAATAAAAACATTTTCCAAATTTGGGCAAAAAATGTTAATAAACAAGCAAACTACAACAGTTTACTTATTCTCCATAAGAATAACATGAGAATTTTAAATTTATAATTTTTTGGAATTTTCTCCGTAACCATTAGGTGCATTATAACGCTTCAATGTGGCGTTATTATAATTATTTGTTTTTTTAAGCTCTACAAAATAATTTGGAAAGAAATTGCAAAATTTTATGTTTTTTGAGTCAAAAGTGGGAAAAACCCATTTTTACCCCATAAACCCCCGTTCCCATGGTCCGATCATGCTGGTTCGCGAACTCGTTCGAATAAACATAGGTTTACACGTTTGTACCAAATTTCATCAAAATCGGATCGTTTTTGCTCGAGTTATCACGCTAACGGACACATATATAAATATATATATGAATTTAAACGCATGGTGTTTTTGGCCTCTAGGGACCTCAAAACGAAAAAAAAAAAAATCGGTCACGGGTCCAGGTCTTACCATGAGTACTAAGGTAGGCCTAATAGCTTATTCCCTATATGGGAAATTCGCTAAAAGTAGGTTTACACATTTGTACCAAATTTTATCAAAATCGGATCATTTTCACTTGAGTTATTGTGCTAACGGACACATATATATGAATGGGTGGTGTTTTTGGCATCTGGGGACCTCAAAACAAAAAAGTAAATCGGTCCCGGGTCCAGGTCTTACTATGAGACCTATGGTAATTAGCTTACCCCATGTGGGGATTCGCTACAATATGTAGGAACCCCGCCGCAGCAAACTTGCAGATTAAGCGAATTTCCATTAACCATGATTGGTCAATTAAATCTATTTAAATAACATTAGTTTAACAAATACCTAGGTTTGCTGCTACAGGGAGGGTAATAAAGTGTGTTTTTTTAATAAAATTTGAATAGCTTAGTATAAAATAAATAAATTTGCAAAAAACAAAAAAAAACGTGCAGTTATCATGGATGAGTATCTAGGCCCTACATACCAAATTCCATCAAAATCAGACTACAAAAGTGTGAACTTAAGCTCTGTACTCATCCACACACACAGACTGACAGACACACACACACCCACACGGACAGTTGTCACTTCTTTTTTAGGTTAAGGGGGACACAAAACGGATATATCCACTTAAAACTTCAACTCCAAAATGTTGACAAAAACAATACTTTCTCCATAAATACTTTCTGGTACTTATGTATTGAGGTAGAAAGAAAAAAATAAGACTTATGTTCTTTGGTCTTGCGTAATACAGAAAAGAATGATGATGCTTGATGGCAAATCTGTGCTTACCCATAGCTTACCTTCAATGAAAGACCAAAAGCTATGAAAATCAGTCGGGTAGAAGAGAGCTAAACCGTCTCGGAAAAGAAAAACCAATATTTTTTAATAGGCCTATATAGATTTCATAAATAGAACTACAAATGGGATAAGATAAAGTATTTAAAAATACTAAAATGTCACTTAAGCCATGTTCAATAACTATCCTTCTTTACTGCATCTTCTTGAATGACACTACATTCAAAACATTAAACAACTTTAAGTAAGGGTAGGCCTAAATATACCAATCTCCAGTCAACGCTCTATTTAAATAGTGTACCTGTTGCTCGAATTCAAGCAATTGCAAAGTACAGTATTACAGGCGTTATTTTAAAACGAATAGCCTAACAGGATTAATTTCCAATAACTTTAAAAGAGTCGTATCTAAGATTATGGAAATACTCACGATGTATATGAGTTAAAAGTATGATATAATCAACATTTCTTGTAAATATCTTTTTGGGAAAAGCACCGTTTTTTTTTTTCAGGAAAGCGGTATGGTAAATCAATGGTTTTCCCAAAAGTCATTTGCGAGTAGGCTACCCAAAATGTACGGAATTACATGAATATTCAATAATTTAAGTTGATCTAACCTAACAAAGCGTTGGGTTTGATTTGTTTGGTTTGGTTAGGTTAGGTTAACTAGTTTTCCGATTATCAGGTATATGGCGGGGCTTTTATAAGTTTATTAGTTGTCAGGAAATAAATACACCGTTGACTTCGTCATGAAATTCCGCACAATTTGAGTACTCACAACATGAGTTTTGAACAAAAAGTGTTTTCTGCGTTACAAACAGTTGGCAGGTTTTGCGAAGTTATAAAGTTGACAGGTCATAATGAAAAATATGTTACACTGTTGATTCTTTGTGAAATTCAGCACAATTTGTGTATTTTACCCACAAAACATTACCTTTTTGCAAAAAAGTGTTTTCCGCTTTTCCGGGAAAACTGCGCTTTTCCGAACAAATTACTAAATTATTTTTTGAATCAGCGCTAAGAAAACAAACATTTAATGTATATATATATTTTTTTTTAATTTTTAACTGTTGACTCGAGGAAGAGAAAGAATACAAAATAATATTTAGCCGAAGACTAAAGAAAATACAGTAAAGACGAAATCTCAAAATTATAAGTCTAGTGCCCTCACTGCTAGAGTTACATCGATGTGCTCGACCAGCAG